TCCATGCTCTCTGCCCCTGCACCCGCTGCCTGCACTGCTCAGCAGGGCACAAGCAGCCCTGGGTGCTGTTGGGCTGCTCAGCACATTTCTGGGCTTGTTCCTCTGGGCAGAAACCACCTTCGTGCCTGTGTCCCCGCGGAGCGGGCGGGCAGAGCCGGACGATGTCCTCGCCGCCATCCGGCCCAGCACTTGCCTGGTTTCCATCATGTTGGCCAACAACGAGACAGGGGTCATCATGGTGAGTCTGTGGGCAGCGGGTGGGACGGGCTGAGGGCATCCTCACAAAGAGCTGCCTGATGAGAGGGTAGCAGTTCCTAGGACACAGACCCTCATCCCTCCCGCCAGCCTCTCACGGAGCTGAGCCAGCGCGTCCGAGCCCTCAACCAGCGGAGAGCAGCGGAGGGGCTGCCCAGGGTCCTGGTGCACACGGATGCGGCACAGATGATTGGCAAGGGGCGTGTGGATGTGCAGGAGCTGGGGGTGGACTACCTCACTGTTGTGGGACACAAGGTATGGCCCTACCTCACTGTTGTGGCACACCAGGTATGGCCTTACCTCAGCATCGTGGGACGCTAGGTGTGGCCCTGTTCGGGTGGGCCAGCTGCTGTTCGCTCTCAGACATCTCTGCTGGGCTGCCAGGGGGATTTGGGGTGCCTCTCACAGCTTGGTACCTCATCAGTGGCCAAGTTTTCCTGCTGGACGGTGCTCTGCAGACAGACTTCACTCCAGTGAGCTGGGAAGCTGTCTGGAGCAGGGAGCAGGAACAGCTCTGCTGAGGCCTGTGCCTGTGAGGCAGGCAGGGATCAGCACAGGAGGACAGGAGAGGGACAGCTGTCTGTCTCCCGGGGGTCACCGTGGCTGTTTCTCCCCACAGTTCTACGGCCCACGCGTCGGCGCGCTCTACGTGAGCGGCCCCGGCACCTCCACCCCACTGCACCCCATATTCTTCGGAGGGGGCCAGGAGAGGAACTTCCGCCCGGGGTAAGGGCACAGGCAGTGACCTGGAGAGCTGGGCCCCGGGCTGGTGGTCAAACCACATGTGGCTATCTGCTCTGAGCTGAGCCCTGGGGCAGGCAGGCTCGCACAGAGAGCTCCGTGGCTGGGAAAGGAAGGCTTTGCCATGGGTGGAACCGCAGGGTGGAACTGCCCCTTCCCAGCCATCTCAGAGCAGGGTCCAGAACCCCCTGCCAGTAATGAGGGGTTCCAAGAGGGAATGTCTGTGTCTGAGGTTGGGTTTCTGGTCTGGAGAAATAACTCACTGTTCCCTCTTCTCTTCCAGTACAGAGAACACCCCAATGATCGCTGGCCTTGGCCAGGTGAGTTGATGCTGGTCATGGGTGAGTGGTTCCTTGCAGGTGCTGTCTGGCAGAACCAGCATGGGGACAGCCAGCTGCACCCCCCCACTCACTAGAAGTGACAAACTTTGGGTGCAGGAGGGAGGGTGAGCTGGGACATGAGAAGGGGCTTTCTGGTGGCAGCTCAAGGAGGCGCTGCAGGGCACATGCTGCAGGCTGTGTAGCCCTGGCAGTCACACAGCTCACGTGGCACAGGTCCCTGAGAGGCTGCTGAGGACACAGGGCACATGGCAATGACAGAGGCTGTTCCCAGGCTGGACTCACATGCCAGGGGCTGTGCATGGAGGGGTGTGTTGGGGGTTGCTGATGGAGCCTGTCTGGGTTTTCTCTCTGCAGGCTGCAGAGTTAGTGAGCAAGAACTGGGAGGCCTATGAGGCTCACATGCGGGATGTCCGGGATTACCTGGAGGCCAGGCTGGAGGTGAGCAGATCTGGTCCCCTCCCAGGGTCTCAGCCTGCAGAGTTCAGGGCCTGGAGCAGGCTGGGTATGTCCCCTTCTCCAGCCCTGCCACCCCCTCATCAGGACAGAGGGGTTCACAGCCCTCTAATTTCTCCAGGCCTCCTTTGGGAAGCAGAGGATCCACTTCAACAGCCACTTCAAGGGTTCCAAGCGACTCTGCAACACCTCTAACTTCTCCATCCTGGGACCAGACCTTCAAGGTAGCTCTTACCCCCCTGCTTCCCCGTGATGGTGCCCACAGAGCCAAGTACTGCCCCTCACAGCACCCTGTGGCAAGGGACCAGCAGGTGCTTGGCCATGGGAGATGAGGCAGGAGTGTCCTCAGAGAGACACTGGGCACTGGGCAGCTGTGTTGTGTGTGCTGCAGGGTACAGGGTGCTGGCTCACTGCAAGGTGCTTCTCGCCAGCGTCGGGGCCGCCTGCCACTCTGAGAAGGGAGATCGGTAAGCTTCGCTAGGCCCAGAGCCTCTTCCAGAGCGGGTGGGAGGGAGGGAAACGGCAGGGAGAGAGACCATAGCTGGCTGTGTGCAGCCTCACCTGGAGCAGAGAGGGTGCAGTGCTTTCCAGAGGGGCTGAAGGGCTGTGAAGGGCATTGTTGCAGGAGACACAGCTGGGGTGCTTGACTGCTGCTCAGAAGGATTTTGTCCCTCCCGGCTTTGGTGATCCAGGTGAGCTTGGAAATACTCTTGAACTTCTGGCACTGCCAGATGAGAGCCTGCCTTGTGTCTGTGTGTGCCTGGCTCACCTGCTGCAGCTCAGTTTGGGTCTCCAGATGATTCCTTTGGGGTGTGTGGGGACAGCAGGTGCTTTTGGTCCCATCTAGAGCAGTGCCCTGTAGATATGGGACAGGTGCTTCCTTGGAGGGGAAGAGCAGGATCTCTAGATTCCTGGTGCTGCATGGTGCTTCCTCAGCCTTCGAGTTAACCCCACTCACCCCCGTGCCTGTGTTTCAGGCCCTCCTCGATCCTGCTGAGCTGTGGGATCCCCCACGACGTGGCACGGAACGCCTTGCGGCTGAGCGTGGGGCGAGACACCACCCGGGCGGACGTGGACCTGGTTGTGCAGGACCTCGTGCAGGCTGTGGCACAGCTGGAGCAGGGCCAAGCTTCATAGAGCTCAGGTTCTCAGGGTGGGACTGTGCCTTGCTTAGCCCTAGGTGCTGGCTGCCTATGTCAGTTTGGGCTCGGGTTTCAGCCCCTCATCCCTAAACTGAGCTGCCCCAGCCTGTGATGGTGGATCAGACCTTGGGGAGGGGCTGGTGGTGGCAGGAGGAGGAAGTGGGATCGCCCAGTTTGGCAGCAGTGTGCCTAGCCGTGTGTCAGTGTGTGCTCACAGGGGTCCTGGCAGGGCCAGCACAGCTCTGCAGCACCTCTGGCTCCATCAGAGAAACCAGCACAGGTGCTGGAGGTGGCAGGGAGTAGTGCTGAGGAGGCTTTGCTGCTCTGGGGCTGGGGCAGCTCGGGAGCTGGCTCAGGACTCTGTCCCTGCGGCACAGGGCAGGGTTCAGGGACTTGCTGTCGGGGGCTCCTTGCTTGCCAGCCTGTGCCCAGCTGGTTGTGTGCGTGCTGGCATGACAGAGCCTCAGAGCTCAGCTCCCCGCAGAGCGACAGGTGAGGCGGTCACGGGAGGTGGAGCCTCTTGCCCTGGTTGCTTTGCACAGAGGAAGCTTTCCCACTGAGCACTCAGAGGAGGAAGGACCATCTGCCCCAGAGGGAGATGAGGGCTTGATAGAAGCACTGCAAGATTCTGGGCTGGGCACTGCCCTGACCCTGCCAGGGCCCTGAGCTACCAAGGGATTTTTTGGCACAGCTTTTTCAGCATCATCTTGCCTTAACTGCTCCCCTTCCTCCTGTCCTTCCTACAGTGGGCAGAGCTCCTGTTGCTAGCTCCACATGCTGCTAAAGGAAACAGCTGTGACTGTGCCAGCACCTGAGAAAACATTCCCCTGCGCAGCCCAGGGTGTCTCACAGCACCAGCACAGGAGGACACGAGTGTCACACGGGCCAGGACCGTTGCCAGCTGGGCTGACTGCTGTTGAGGAACCTTGTCTCCCTGGATATTCACAGGAATAAAAGTAACTGCTGCTGCTGTGGCTTTTTAACAAGTAAAATGTGTTTTCCGTGTGGGAAACTGGACTGGTTGGGGTCATTTGAGTGATGCATTTTCCCTTGGAAAATGCTCGTGTCCCAGAAGAGAGGCACAGTCTGCTGGAGCGAGGAGGTGCCTGCTGGCACGGAGCCCATGGACACAGGTTCTTAGATGCTGGCCTTGCTCTTTGCAGACATATATTAGCACAGCCAGGAATTCTCCTTGGGGCCATAAAACTCTGGGGCTCTTTGTAAATCTGGCGTCTGACTGGAGTGCTAGGGTCCAAGCACCCTCAGTCACTGGTCCTGCCAGGCTGGTCAGTGTTACCACTGCTGCTCACACCTCCATCTCAAATGCAATCTCTTATTTCTCCCTTTTTTTACCCTCCCTTGCATAATATTCAAAGCCTCTTTTAGAAAAAGTGGTTCCACAGAAAGGGTTTTGCCCTGCCTCAGGGGTAGATCTTTAATCTGTCACAGACCTCACAGTTCTTGGGGACCTTTCACAGCTGTGGCACAGCTGGATGTGCACTTTTTTGGGGCTGTTCCCCCCCCACAGGAGGTCTGAGCTTCCTGCATCAATTCAAGTAGAAATGTAGCCACAAAGCACAAAAAGCTTTACTGACTTCTTCTTTATACACGCAGGAAATGCAAGTTTTAGCCACAGACATTTAGCGTTGGTTCGTTTAGAATATTGCAGCCAAAGCTTAACAAGGTTACAGAGGATGTGAGAACTCTGGTTGACCATTTAAATAGCTCATTTTCCTACTACCACATTGCATAGGAATGAGAGTAGCGAATCCCTCTGTGTTGCCTTAGCCAGGGACAATGAGGGAGAACATGCCTGTGACTTGGGCTGCACTTCTGTTGACCAGCCTGGGCTTCTGCTCACGCACCCTGTGTGCTACCCATTTTTGTATGACAAAATGTCAGTGGTTGTATGCAGCAGAACAAATTCACCTGGCATGGGAGTCTGGAAATACCAACATTGCTACAACAGCTGAGAATGTCAGTGGTAGAAAAAGGACCTGGCCACTACACTAGAATATGACAGAGCTGAAGTGATTTACTTTCACGTGGTCAGAGCCAGAATCTGACAGCTGAACCACATTTCACTTGATGGAGGAATCCACAATCTCCTGGTAATCTTGCCTTCTTAAATCCTTCCAGGAGAGTTTGTAACACGCAAGGAAAGAAACACTAACCAAAATGACAGCTCCCCCAACCAGGTCATAAGCACCCGGGAAGATGCGCAGCACGACTAGCTGCAGGACCATGGCAATGACTATCTCCAGGTGCTGCACGGTGCTGACCAAGGCAGGGTGGAACTTGCTCAGGGCATAGTAGACCCCCAGGAAGGCTGCAGTGGAGCAGAGGCAGATGACAAGGAGATAGGTCCAGGTTTCTCCATCCAGGGGGACGACTGGCTCTTGGAGTAAGAACATGGTGCACGCTCCCCACACGGTTCCTGTCCAGCTGAAGGTGAACAGGGCTGTCCACATGCTGATGTTGTCTTTGAGGGACCTATAGACTATCATGGAGAGGGCAGTGGTCAGACCAGCCATGACAGTCATGGTGTAGCCAAAAGCTTCCCTCCAGGTGCTCAGCAGAGAGTTTTCCTCCTTAACAATGTTGGGGATCATGACCAGACAAACACCAAACACGCTGCCAGCCACAGTGACTATGTCTATGCAAGCCATTCCTTCACCTATGAGTAAGACAGCCAGAATGGCACTGAACACCGTGGTGGTGGCCCTCCACATAATGGTCCCATTGCTGGGGGGCACTATGGAGAAGGAGGTGTAAGCACAGGTAATAGAGATGACATTGCAGACCCCGTAGAAGAAGAGCCGGAGCCTGTAGCCCTTGGGCCCAAAGGGAGGCTCATGGTAGTAGCACACAACAGTGATGGACAGCACCTGTAGGACCGAGCGGATGAAAATCAGCTCCAAGGATGGCACTTTGGAACGGTCAGAAACCAACCTGGTGATTAGAGCCACACACCCGTGAGCCACGGCCGAGCCAAGAAGGACTCCCCACGTTTTCCTGGACTGCAGGACGTTTCCTTCAGGAAAATGCTGGGATTGTCCAATCTCATTGGGCTTGGGCACTTGCGCTGGCGTGGTGTCTATTGTACCGAAGAAGGTCCTTCTCTTTTTGCCATCACTCAGCAGTCTCCTCTTAGGATTGTCCTCCATAAGTACTCCAGCATCTTCACTAACATCCTCATATCCCTCTTCTCCTGGCTGGGGATAATGAGAAGTATATTTCACTGTTACTCTGTTGGGATGAATTTTCACTTGCTTTTTGACTGAGTATTCTTGAGAAGACATATCCATTTCCTCAGAGAAGTGTCCTGGTCTTAAGAAAAAAATGGGCATACACTGTTGCTTGAGGAATAGTGAGAAACTCGTTAGCAGGTAAATGCTGTTTAATGTTTACAAGCTATTTATATCAAGCAAGTCCAAGTGGTAGTAGATTGTTCTTGATGTTGCTTCAGTTTCCCACGGAGCTAAATACCTTTGATAGTTGGGCCATTTGGTTCTCCTTAGAAGCTGCCGTGGCACTTTAGCCACTGATTTTTTAAGATGACATCTATTCTCATTATGTGTAGTATGTATAATGCATTCTAGTATGTTCTAATTCTAATCAGAAAGTTTTCTTACTAATCTTTTCACCCTGTAATTATGAATTGTGGTTAATTGCTAGTGTTAGAAGATTATGGGAGATATTTGGGTGGAGGAGATGCAGACAGCAGCACGGGGACAGGGGACACAGCCAACAGAGTTAGCATATGAATAACGACACATCTTCGAGCAATACTCCTACAGTGTCAAACCCTAGCGAAAGTCCTTTTCCTGCTGCCCAAGCAGTGCCCATCGGGGTGGGTCAGTTTAATCCAGGCAGAAGGAAATCACGGAAATGATTCTGTTTCCACAGCAGCCCCCACCATCTGTGCAGAGCAGGAAAAATGAAACCTTCCCTGCCTTCTGTTCACCCCGGCAAATAAACCTGTGCAGACCTTACCTGCGATTGAGAGATTTAATCCCAAACCAGAGGGGGAAAACACCTCTTCGTCATCTACATCTTTGTCCAGGTGTCTAGACAGAAAAAGCAGCTGCTCCCAGGTATCCAGTAGGAGAGGTTACCATCATCTCAGCACGGAAAGCAAACCCCAGGGCAGGCACAAAGCCCAAAACACTTCAGATGGAGAGAAAGCAGTCGGTGTCCTCTTGCCCAAAGCACTCCTCAGCCATGTCCCAGGTTGCTGACCCAAGGAATGGGCACGGCCAGCCTTGTGTCGGCAGGAGCGACACCTGCAGCAGGGCGAGCCCGGAGGGGCGACACCGCAGCCGGGGGACACTAGGCGGATCGTCGGGGAGCAGATCCAGAGGCAACGCCAAAGCGTGAGCAGCTTCTCTTCGCTGAAAGGCTAAAAATACCGTGGCAGCATCAGCCTTGGCATTTTCTCCCTCCCTGATCGGCGGCAGCCAAGCACTGCCCGTGTCTCCCGGCAGGCGTAATTTCCACGAGAATGGGCCGGGCTGCCTTTC